GTGCGTAGGGTGTGTGTGTGTGTGTGTGTGTGTGTGTGTGCACACGTGCGTGCGCCTCATGCTCACCAGCAGTGCCAGCCTCCCTTACCTGCCTTCAGGCCCAGGCCCCCTTCCCCTGTAGGCTAGCCCCTGGGTGGGGAGGCCTCTGCCCTCCTTCTGTTACCTTCCAGCAACTGGCTGAGCCCAGGTGAGGGTGGGAGCAAGGAGCACTGCTCAGGACCCTGGCTCTGCTGTGTGTCCAGCTATAGCCATCTGGGATTCCCTGCCCTTAGTGCCAGCCTCCCTTACCTGCCTTCAGGCCCAGGCCCCCTTCCCCTGTAGGCTAGCCCCTGGGTGGGGAGGCCTCTGCCCTCCTTCTGTTACCTTCCAGCAACTGGCTGAGCCCAGGTGAGGGTGGGAGCAAGGAGCACTGCTCAGGACCCTGGCTCTGCTGTGTGTCCAGCTATAGCCATCTGGGATTCCCTGCCCTTCTCTGGAGCGCGTGGCCTCAGCATAGGAGGAAGGAGCTGCCCTGCTAGGGACCAAAGAGCTACCTTGAGGGCCCCTCTCTCCTTCGTGGTCTCCAATGAGAAGGCAGTCAAGAGCACCTAGGCCTTCCCCAGGGGTGGGGCCAGGCAGAGCTTGCTCCTCTTTCTTCTGTCCTCCCAGCACCCCCCACCCCACCCCTGCTTCTAGCTTGGGCTTCTCTTCTGTAGGACACAGGGCAGGGAGGTTTACTTCTCAGCTTCCTCCGCAGGGCCTCCTAGCTGGAACCCAGCAGCAATGAGGCGGGGCAGGGTGTGGCAGCTATGAAGTGGGGGTGGGGAGCTAGGCCCGGCGCGCAGGCAGCGGGAGGTGCAGGCCGCTCTGCTCTGACTCGGTTTTATGAACTCCAGAGAGAAGCCAAGTTTCCTCAGCCCCCTAATGAAACCGAGAGCAAGGCGAGCTGATTAGAAACAGACAGGCAAGGAAGGACTCAGGGAAGAGCTGAGGCTTGCACGGGGTGGGCTTGCATGTGCCAGTTCGCGTGTGCGAGGACGTGTGTGAGGGTGAGGGGCTGAGCATGCGGATGTGCTGTGCAGCTGAATGCACCCTGGCTGGCCCTGGGCAGATGTGCATGTGCGTTCTGGGCACTCGGCCTGCAGTCTCAGGGCAGCCAAGCCAGGGCCCCTGTCCTCTCTCCCCAGATCTGGGCCAGGCCAGGGAGTGAGTTGCTCCCCTTGGATACAGGGTATCGGGGGTGCCACAAAAGTGGGCAAGAGAAGTCATATTTTATTCTCTCTTTTTTTCAAAATTTCGGTTCTGGGGATTGAACCCCAGCCTTACTCATGCTCAGCAAGTACTCTACCACTCAGCCTGATAAGTCCTATTTAATGCACTGTTTTTACAAATCAGTACTATTGCTGGGCACCATAAGACACACATTTAATCCCAGCACTCTCAGCTAAAGCAGGAGGATTGCCACAAGTTCAAGGCCAACTTAGTACTACATAGTTTGAGGCCAGCCTGGGCTATAAAACAAGACCCTGTATGGAAAAAAAAAAAAAGTAAAGAAAATAAAAGAAAAAACATTGCAAAAGGATGTGATGAACAAACAACATTTTAAACAGTTTTACAGGAGACACAATCCAGCTCTGTAGTTGTAAGACTCTACCTCACCTATCTCCTCTGCGCCCCCTCTAATCTCTTCCCTGGCTCCGATCACATTTTATTCATAAGAACAAGTGACTAGGGCCAAGGATTTAGCTCAGTGGTTCTGCAGCCTGCCTTGCAAAGTGTAATGTCCTGAGTTTGATCCCTGGTACAAAACAAAAAACAAAAAAAAAAAACCGAAAAACAAGAACTAGCCTGACATGGTGGCACAGGCCTGTAATCCCAGCTTTTGGGAACTGAGGCAGAAGGATCTCTGTGACTTCCAGGCCAGGGCTCGACTACCTAGTGAGATCAAGGCTAGCCTGAACTGCATAATGAGACCTTGTCTCAAAAAAAACAACAACAAAAAAAATGAGAATCAAGATCTATCATGTAAAGGTATAAGACCTCAATGATGAATGTAACTGTACTGTATACCTAAAAGTACTAGTAAACTCAATAAAAAAATAAAATAAATAAAACAAGTGACTACTGGACATAATGGCACTCTCCTTTAACTCAGGATATCCAGGAGGCTGAGGCAGGAGAATTGCTTGAGTGCAGGAGTTCAAACCCAGCCTGGGTGATTTAATAAGATTCTGTCTCAAAATAAAATTTTTAAAAGGGTAGTAGAGCGCTTAGCGGTAAAGCAATTGCCTAGCATCAGGAGGCTCTGGGTTCCATCTTCAGCTGCAGAAAATAAGTGGCCGGCCCTGAAGCCCTACTGCAAATTTGATTATCTCTTTTAAAGATTGCATTAAAATCTTCCAGATCTCCATGAGTGGGGTTTCTTTGTGCCGGAGAGCAATGCCTCACCCCCTCTCCCTGCTCCTGCTTATTGTCTCTCTTCCTGGGGATCCCTGGCCCCCACAGCAGCCCTCTCTTCCACCCTGCATCATTGAGGCCCTAGCTCTGATGCCCATTCTTCCTCCCTGCCCACCTTGCACAGGGAGCCCGCGGGCCACGGCCTCTGCCCTGCACTTCCCCTCCACGTCCATCATCCAGCAGTCGAGCCCATACTTTACGCACCCAACCATCCGCTACCACCACCACCACGGGCAGGACTCGCTGAAGGAGTTTGTGCAGTTTGTGTGCTCTGACGGCTCAGGCCAGGCCACTGGACAGGTGAGTGTGGAGGGCCTCGGAGCCCCACCGAAGCCTCATCTCCACGTCTGTCTGTCTGTCTCAGGGCTCACAGGGAGCAGCCAAGGCCAGGAGCCACCTGGGCTAAAGCAGCAGGGGCCAGCAGCACTGCACCATCTCTACTGCTCTGGGTCTGGAGTGAGGGCACTGAGCCAGGGTGGGTCCAGCATGGACTTGGGGCAGGAGTAAACCTGGAACCTGTCCAACCCAGGCCTGGGCCCCATCTCCTGACACCCCACTCAGACCTTCGGGGGTGCAAGGATTTGGTGGCTAATAGACCAGAGTTTGCCATCTTGCCTCTGGTGACGTTTGGGGCTGTTTGTCCTCTGTGGTGTGAGGCTGTCCTGGGCACTGTGGGTATGGGCAGTTCCCCTGGTCTCTGCCCACTGTGGCAAGCACAGATGCCTCTGGATTTCATTGTGTCCTGGGAGCAAGGCAGGTGACAGTACTGGGTAGAGAGGAGGTCCCCGTCCTGCCATCTCTCGGAGACCTCTGTTAGCAGGACTCCTAACACAGGGTTCCCAGGACCCTTCAGCTCTGGGTGCAATCAGGGAGACTGAAGCCCCTATGGAACCCGTCTCTGCTGTGGGCCCCAGGGCCCAGTTACTGCTCACTTGGGCCTCTAGCAAAGGAATTACCTCAAAGGTGTGGGCCAGGGGCGCTCTTAGGTAGGCATGCTGGGCCCTGCAGACCACCCTGGGTCAAAGCACAGTGGGAGGTTGTGCGGCTGGGGAAGTGTGCAGGCTGGAGGGTGCTCCAGGATTGGGGTTGGGAATGGCGCACTGCAAGCCCATGCCAGAGTCACCAGGGACACTGACTGCCCTTTACCACTCCACAGGCGCCACCACCATGCGCTCTGCTTGGAGGGGCATTGGCTGTGTGACTGGGGATGGCCACCCTCAGCCTCTTGGCTCTCTGTCCATCACAGAAGCTGGTCCTCCTCCCTCCCGCCTGCTCTACCCCCTTGTGCTTTCCTCCTGTCTCCTCTGGCTGCCTCTGCAGCTCCTCAGCACCCTGGTGGCCTTGCGCATCGCTCTGAACCAGCCCTGCACTCTGTGTAGGGGTCGGCAAAAGTAGACCTGTCCCCCAACAGCTACTCTGCTTCCTTTGGAGATGCAGCAGCATCCACGGGGAGCCAGTGGCACATGTCCTGGCCTCCCAGAGGGCCTGGAGTCAGGAGTGGAGAATAGAGAGGCTAGGAATGCTGCCGACAGGTGCAGGGGCCTTCAGAGGCAAAGGGGGTCAGGCCCAAGAATGGGGTCAGGCCCAAGAACCAGTTAGCCCAAAGAACCATCCAAGCGCAGGGCCTGAGGAAGAGAGGCCCCAGTTGGGTCCCAAGCCTTTCCTGACTTGATAGCTCCAGAGTGAGGACTCAGCCTCTTAGAAGACTCTCCTCTGGGGCTGCTGCTAGTTCCTGTAGTCCTGCAGAACACTGCAGACAGGGATGCAGGCAAGGCACCTGAGCTAGCAGAGGCATCAGGCTGGGAGCTGCCTCTCTGGTCTCCTCTGCTTGTCGGGGCTCAGCAGGGGACCTGCTGTAGGGGACCAGGCTACGGACAGTTCACACCCTTGGAGAGAGCAGAGGCCTGTCGGGCTTGCTCTGCAGCCACTGTTAGAGGAAATACTATGAGCATCTCTGAGTCTTCTGGAGGCCTTGACATACAGGTGCCTGGGCCCTGCCTCAGAGCATCTTTTTCAGCAGAGCTGCGGCAGGGCTGGAGGTTCAGGGTGTTTGCTGCTGCCTCTGGCACTGATCTGGCCTTGAGGATCTGGAGTTACAGGCAGCTTTGCAGAAAATATATATGTAAAAACATTCTACAGGTAGTTACAGAAGGGTCTCAGATAGTTCAGTAGCCCAAGTGGGGCGCCACTGGGGAGGAGATAAAAAGTGCAGAGAGGGGAGCCTAGACAGCTACAGTACAGTGAGAAAGCAGAAGGCCTGGTGGATTGGGTGCGGACACCATAGCCCAATTGAAGAGTAGGACTGGGAGGCAAGAGGGCTGCTTTTAGCCCAGTCTTGCCCACTCGCTGAGACAGCCAAGTGTTCTACCTGTAAGACAGAGAGGAGCTAGAACACCTTTCAGGACCCACCTGGAAGCTGCCACCTGACCAGGTTGTAAGGGAACATGAAGTCAGGAGACCCTGAGATTCTTCTTCTTTTTTTTTTTTTTTTTTTGT